GGTTTTCAAAGTGTGACACTAGAAATGCAACGTCTTGGGCCCCACTCCAGACCTACTGAATCAGAAACCCTGTGGGGAGAAGCCCGCCCGTGGTGTTTCGACAAGCCCACCAGGATGTCTGACGCACTCTACATAAAGTTTCAGAACCACTGCGTTAGGACACGGTGAGGCCGGGGGAGAGCAGACCGTAGGCAGAAAACTCAGCCTGGCGGTGTGACGCATCACTGAGACGAAAAGAACATCAAAAATGAGCCCGAGCTGTGCAGACGCGGGCCCAGGGAAGACAGGAGGCGGCGCTCGGAAGGCCGGGCAGGAGCCGGCCTGGGGGCCGCACTGAGCAGGCCGGAGGCGCCGGGGCAGAGCCCAGGCTGGCTGTCACCGGCCACACGGAGGCATCTGGCTCTGCCACAGCAGCTCCTGCGAGTGACCTTATTCTTTGAAGCCAGGCACGTTGACAGCGATCCAGTCCTGCTCCTACCGACGCCGTGTGGTGGTGCCGGAGGGCGCTGCGCTGGTGGCCGCCGGCTGTTCCCGAATGCTGTTCGCTGGCATGTGCCCTGGGATGGCCTTTCCCAGGTCTCGAACGACTGGGGTGAAATGCCCCCACTCCACCCGTGCTCTGCTGCTGGACCCGACAGGCCCTGCCCAGTGCCTGTCATCAACCCCGGCCGTCCCAGGACCTCCCCCACCGCAGAGGACAAGGGCAATCATTCCCGCCGCTCCCTCCCATTCCGGCCAACCAGCCAACCTCAGGCTTGCCCCACGCTTACCTAGCGAATATTAGCTCGTATCTGGGCACAGCTTATTATAATGCTCCTTTAAAAAGCTCCGTATATAAAATGTCACCAACGAAACTTCTTTTCTCTTCATTTACCCATCTATTTTATCTGGCTTTTTCTAGAACAATATAGGGTGGGCAAAAGTAGGTTTACAGTTGTGAGCACACAAAACATAGAGTTTATTCTTGTATTATTATTTATTAGTTATTGTATTATTTTCCATGTGAACAACTGTAAGCCTACTTTTACCCTTACATGTATTTCCCAAAACGTGTGTGTTTTTTTTTATACATCTTTATTGATTTCAGAGAGAAATCAATAGGAAGGGAGAGACAGACAGAAACATCAATGATGAGAGAGTCATTGATCGAGCCCGCAACCCGGGCATGTGCCCTGACCAGGAATCGAACCCCGATCACCTGGATCCCAGGTCACGCTCAACTGCTGAGCCACGCCCGGCCGGGCCCAAAACATGTTTTTAAAAGATCGTGCATATGAAAATGGTCTGTGGTTAAAATCCATCTGGGAAATGCTAAACACTTTAATCAAGTTTATTTCACTCACAACTTATCAGAGCCTCTCATCCATTAAAGCTCGTCGTGAATTTCCACATGGGGCAGTTACAGGATGAACCCCCCTTTTGGTAAGGACACATCCTTGCCCATGAATGAATGAGTAAAGATTATGATGGCTGAAGGGACATGGTTTAGAAAATGTATCTTTAAAGATCAATGGGTAAAGTCTTGTGAAATATCTATAAATGAAGCATGCAGTGATAGAGGCCTTTCTTGAAGTGTGAGAATGAGAATATTATTTCTAGAGTTTATAGATACAAACATAGAATAATTTAAACAATAGTAAATCCTTTCTCTGACATGAGTCTTAATGATCTAAGTTTTCAAAACAACTCACCTTTGCCAAATTCACGAACATAAAGCCGTCAGGGACGGAGCTGTTACTGCAGACCAACTCCAGAACCTAATGTGACTGTCGCCTCCAGGGTCACGTACCTCTAGGGCCCGGAGGGCAAGAGCTCAGTGGCTGACCAGGGAGAGGGGCCTGGTCCTGTTCCATGGCAGGATGTAAGATTCCATTTGTTTTCAAGTGCAGAGCTTTGCTTTGTTTGTACTTACGGAGAAATATAGTTACAGTTTTAAAGTTTCAGTCTTTGGTATAACATAGTTTACCTTATAGAATATTGTGAGACACATAAGCTGCTTGGATAATGTCAATTTAACCATTAATACTACTTTTGTTTTATTTTTCCAGAAAACTTGATACAAAAGTCAAGTCAAAAAAGCCTTGAATGCTGTCATTTCTTGAGGCTGGAGAATAGACCGTAGAAGCTCTTCATTTTAAGACTTACAACAGAGCAATAACTTCTCTCGCAACTGTTGCATAATTTGTCTCTTTTCACCAGACAATAGCCTGACTGCATTGCTAGGTTTCTTGATTTAAAGAGCAAGGTGACAACAGCAAAAACTGGCAAAGAACAAAGCTCTAAGGTGGAAGATAAAGGCCAGAATATGTGTAGAATTAAATGCAAGCATCCACTACACTGTTATCAGCCTCTTACCTACCCTCAGTGGAGCTGGGAAGGTTGGGAGGACATTAGCCACCCAGAAGACTAAGGTAAAGTTATAGGAGAGTTCTAGACATTTTCTTAAGAAATGTAGTCAAATACAGCTTGATTTAATACAAACTGCCTTCTTACTTGAGTACACAATGTGAATTAATTCTGTTTTTGAACACCTAAATAAAGTAAATATGCTTGAACACCTTTGCCAGGCATTGTGCTAGTAGCCCCTGGGAATGCAACAGTGACTTATAGACCTTACATTCTAGGAGAGACTAAAAGCACCTACTGAAGCCACAGCCGAACGGGGTCTGCGACACAAAGGAAGTGAGAAGGACTGTGATAGATTGCAACAGCACCTGTAGATTAGATGATCACAGCAGGCCTCTTAGGAGGTGACTTGGGAGGCGTGGATGGGAGGATGAGTGAAGAGTTAGGTATGCAAAACACTAGCAGGTAGGGGATGTAGAACATTAGTTATGAAAGAGCTTGGCATGTTTTATGAACAGAAAGAAGTCTTGTGGGGTTCAAAGCATAGAGCAATGAAGAGAGTTCCAAAAGATTATGGTTGCACAACCATGTGAACGTGCTTCATACCACTAAACTGTGTGCTTTAAAAGATGGTTACGATGTTAAATTTTATGTTATGTGTATTTAACCACAATAAAAGTAAATAAAAGAAGAAGACAACGATGACAACATTGTAGAGGCACGTAGAAGCCTGATCATGTAGGACAGAGGAAGGGTTGTACTGTGGGGTCATGGATTTTGGACTTTTGAGCTCCGGAACTGTAAGAGAATAAATATGTCTCATTTTAAGTCACCAGGTTTGTGGTATTGGTTATAGCAGCCATAGGAAATTAACACACCTGGGAAGGAAAAGATAGTCCCTGTCTGAGTCTACCTGCCCTCCTGCCCATTTGTGAGAAACAGGACTGTTCCGAGATTGGTGCAATTTAACCCATAATAGAGAGCATTCATCATTGATTCGGTGTCTGGTCTTCAACCCTGTACATTAAGAATTCATTCTCCATGGTTCATCAAGTGTGATCAGGTTAAGGAGAAATAATACATACTAACTTAACTCAAGAGACATATAAACCACCACACCGGCTGATTGGTTTATTCATGGAAATGTGAACACTAAATGCATCAGCTTACTCGATTAGCAACTAAATGCAGCTGTCTTGCTTGGGAAATGTAAAGTCAGAATAAAGGCAACTAACTAGCTCATCTTGAAGGTTGATGTTACCAAATCCCACAGCCTGGTGCACAAATTTCCATGGATTAGAACATTTAGATTGGCCAGACAGACAAGTCCCCTCTCTCCTGACTTTGCTGGGACATTCTGGCAAATTCTCACTGGTCACTACCTTTCTGGAGTCCTTGAAGGTCATCATAATGCTGTTTTGGCAATATTCCTTCAGATGTGCTACAATGACTATATGTCAGTTTATGAATCTCCTTAGAGACTTGGGTTGTGTTCTCACCCTGGAACATATTTACACACCACCTCAGATTCATTCACTGATTCATTCAAGAAACATCACTCAGTACTTACTAAATGCTAGACATTGCACTAGGAGTTGAGACATAGAGATAAGATAAAGGCCTTCCTTTCCAGGAATCTTATGATTTTTGGTAGATTAAAAGCTGCTGTGTATTTCTTCTGTAGGTAGCTGATCTCATCCACTTCTTGTGATTTCATGAACTTCATTTTTGCAGGACATTTCCTGACCCTCGTTGTCAAATTTAGAAATGGTCCAATTGAGGACCTATAAGCCAGTCAAATAAATTCAATTAAAAAACCCAACTGTTCCGACAATACTATTTTACTAGTATTCACATTTTACTAATCTAGCATGACAAAGGGACCAGCATTTAAACACTCTTCTTGATGTTAACATTCCTACAAAACAGAGGAAAGATGCCATGGCCATTTGTCAGTTGTGAACTGAGTGGTCCCTTCCAACTCAGTTTTATTTAATGGTGACTCAACTCATGTAGTCATTGATAGCAACTTTTTTTCTAATTTTTTCAAGTCCAAAACTCAAGATCATTCAAGAAATCATAAAGTCACAAGCATGCCATCCACTCTAGTTTACATGTATATTTTATTGCACATCTAACCACTAAACTTCTGATCATGGAGCTAGAGGGGTTTTTCTGCCTTGATTTTCAAAGAAGGACCATGTTTGGTAAACATTCCTTCTTGGTTTGTTATTACTGATGTATAAATCAGTCCTGCGGTTTGAACGTTAATATAAACTGGAAAGCAGTATAAACTAGGAAAGGCCAGTAGAGGAGTGATTTTCTGTGTGACCTAGAACAGGTCACTTACCTTTCTGGCCTGAGTTTCCTTGTTTGTAAATGGCAGTTAAATTTTATGCCTTTAGTTTCCAGTTCTAAAATACAACGATTCTTTAAGAATCTCTGGAAAATATGGTCATAAAGTTAGTTTTTTGTTTATCCAATCTATGTCATGGAAACCTTCAGAATTACTGTAGACAAATTCACTTGGAGTAGTTTATCAAGTAGAAGCCATGACCATTCAATCAGCAGCTATCGTCTTTGCTCTTACAAAGCTAGTTGTTTAATGGAAGGGAGAGACACCATTAAATACATACACACACAAAACCCACAACTACTTCTGTGAAACAACTTTTTAATTCCCATTTTCTGTTTACAAAAAGACAAAGAGAATAGGGAGAGGGGAAGCAGGAATAACACTTGGTCACCGCCAGAGGGTGGATGAAGAGGCCATTGCCAACAAGATTGGGCCAGACTGCTCTTCCCTGCCACTAGGTAACAGCAAAAACGCAAAAGAAGTCCAATGTGGGTCAACAGCTAATGCTAACAAGATCAGTCAGTTTAGGCAACATTGGATGATCTGTGAAGTCCATGTCCATGAGAGGAAAAAGGCACAAGTCAGACTAATGGGGCCTTGGCTCCGGGTAAGCTTGGGCTTGTCTTCTGCAAGGTTTGGGCAGCTGTCTCCAGGGCACATAGGGACCACGAGGTAGATTCCGGGGAAAACCCCTATGAACCACAGGGGCCGGATGCTGATAATAGGGTGCAGGCAAGGGGGCCATTGGCGGCTGGGGATCAAACATAAAGTCAGTTTCTAATTCAAATCCTGTCTGGGTAGATGAGGGGACATCTGAACGGAAATAGTTTAAGAAGAATTGACCCGACTGGAAAGGTTGGTCTGAGGAAAAATAGGTATCTTGGGGACAGAACAAGACCTGGGGGCGCATGGCTTGGGGACAGGGAATGGGAAGAGGCTGCGAGGGCAGGAGTGAAGCCAGAGGTGGGCGGGGAGCTGGGTAGGGCAGCAGGGGGCCCTGCCTGGGAGGAGGCAAAGATGGGGGCAGGCGTAAGGCCCGTTGATTTCTGCTGCTCTGGGATTGCCTTTCAACTCCCTGGCTGGGTCCCGTCCTTGCAGGGTCAACCTTGATCCACTGGCTCATGGGTTGGCGCTGGGGCAGCTCTACGCCCCAAGCGTGGGCCACGTGGGCCAGCAGCAGCTGGGAGAGGTGTCGGTGGGCGCGCTGGTTCCAATGCACCCCGTCTACGTGCCGGTTCCTCTCTGCGTGGCGGAAGTGGAAATGCAAGTCCAACACATCAAAATTGTGCTTCTTTGCCTCGACAGAGCTGTAGAAGTTTGCTTCGATCACCTTTTTTCTCCGGGTCAAGAGCAGGGTGGGCTGCTCTGGAGGGAGGAAGCCCCCAGTGATCTTCTCGCCCAGGGGCATGGCCGTATTCCACACCAGGAGGCAAGACTTCGGCAGCACCCGGGCCAGGTGGCTGAACAGGCTCTCCAGGTTCTTGCGGTAACTGCTAAAGGCGTCCTGCCCATACCTGAAGATGTCCCAAAGACAGGAGTTCATGATGATCACGTCCGGGGTGTGCTCGTGGGACAGTAGCTCTTCCAGGACGGTCTCGACGTAAGCACTGTAGGCGCGCGTGAGGAAGTAGAAGCGCACCAGGTGGTGGCCGGTGCAGAACTCGCGGACCTCGCGGTAGTTGGTGCCGTTGTGCATGGTCGCCATCTGGCCTCCATCCACCAGCTTGTCCTGTTCGAAGCTCAGCTCCCCCTTGGCCCTGAGCTGCTTGTAAGTGAGCAGGCAATCCTTCTGCAGCAGGAGCACCAGGTCCTTGTACACACACCTCTGGACGGAGTCTCCCAGGATCACGATGAACTTGTTGTGGAGCAGCTGCCGCACTTCAGAGGACAGCAGGTGGACCATGGTGCCCCGGTCAAGTGGCCCAGCTCCTTCCTTTGCACACGGGTGGTTCTGCAGATAGTTAGGACAGAAGGAGAGAGCAGCTGGGAGGAAGCCACCCTAGGCAGGCCTTCTGTGTGGGTAGGACTCAGGGCTAGGGATGAATTTGGGCCTGGGAAACCCGTAGGGTGGAACTCCACCACCTTAAGGCTGGGAGTGGGGCAAGAGAAAGCAAGAAGGGGGCCTGGAGCCAGGAGCCAGAAGCCAGAAGCCAGAAGCCAGAAGCCTTGCTTGGCCTGGCCTCAGCGTAGGCCTGGGACTTGACCTCTGAACTGCCCGTGGCTGCTCTTGGAGGCCCAGTTTCCAACTAGCCAGGAGGGGCCAACCTGGCCCCGCCCTCCCCCTGCTGGAGGTACAAACTGCCATTGGGAAGGCAGCCCAGACATCTGACAACTGGACAATGTTTAGGCAGACTTTGCAGCTGCTGAACAATGGGTGTGAATAAGCAAGAACATGGAGAATGTTTGTGATATGTTAAAAGTTGAGGACGTTACAGACCATGTGTGCCCCACATGACTGAAACTATATGAAACAAATATGCATAGATAACATTGAAAAATATCTGCAAAATAGTTTTTAATAATAGGATTAAAGTGAATTGCCTTCCCCCTTTTTAAAAATATACTTTATATAATTGTATATTACTTTTAATAACTTAAAAAGAATTCAATGGAATGCAACAGAAAATAAGAGTACATGTGCCAATAGGTCTTGCACAAAAGAAATAACATTGGGAAGAATTTACATGTGTTTCCGGTGTAATACTCTTTGCTTTCCATTTGAAGGAGATCAACTATGCTACCCCCAAACATGACACTTCGTCATAAGGATAACTTTGAGCTGAAGGCAACTAAGAATCAACAGACACTTCCCTTATCTGCCTAAAAGCAGTGCGTAAATACCCTTTGAGGAAGGTGGCCCTGTCCCAACCAGAGAGAAGAGTGAAGAAAGAAGGCAGGGTGTTATCAACACCAAGATGAGGTTGCATGTAGAGACCTTACTAAAATGTAAAATAGCCCAGATTTTCCATCAGTTTCCTCATATATTTCCCCACATTTATCATCCCCTGAAGCCCCAGCCCTTTTCCTGTTAAAATATTATATAAACCCCTGAATTTAACTGCTTGTTTCAGTTTCATTTCTTTTCTATAATCTCTTGTGCACATAAATATTAATAAAAATTGTGGGCCTTTTCTCTTGCTAACCTGTCTTTTGTTAGTTTAATCACAGGGCCCCAGAGACTGAACCTAAGAGGCAGAGGAAAAGCTTTTCCTCACCAGCACATTGAGTAAAATGTTAAAAGTTGTGAAACTCATCTTCAAAACTTCAGATAAAGTTTATTTCAAGCTGCCATTTACAACCACATCTACTAATGAATAAAAGGTAGAAACATACGTCAGTACTATTAACACATCTCAGATGGGTGGGAAGATGGCATCCACTTACACAGAGCCACTGAAACACTATGGCTTGATATTTGTAGGCTTTTATGCATTATTCAACATCTTAATAGGTGTGGGTGGATAGCTATTATTAAATGACACATTCAGTTTTTAAAAGCTATCTGATTTGTGGTTTCAAATGGGTAGAAGTACAAAAATAAAACCATGAAAATGAGTAGAATGTAAGAATTGCCCTAAGACAACAGTTGAAAATACTGGCTTAATTTCCCCCAAAGAATCTTCATTCAAATTTGGTATTTTATTGATGTGTGTATGTATGTGTGTGTGTGTGTGTGTGTGTGTGTGTGTGTGTGTGTGTATATATATATACATATATATATATGTAAAAGGATTCTTTCTCATGATGTGAAGAGCCTTAGACTTGGACTCAGATGTGTGAGTCAAATCCACTACTTAAAAAAGCAGTGGGAAATACAGGCACTTAAGTATACTGGAGAAGAGCAGTATTTGAAGCCAAGTTCTCTAGGTTTCAATACCAGGTCTTCTATTTGCTAGCTCTTTGTCCTTGGGCAGTTATTTAGCCCTTCTCTGCCTTAATTTTCCTCATCTATAGAATGGGACTTTTAGTACCCTCTTCACAGATTTGATGTGAGGATTAAATGTAGTGTTTAGAACAATGCCTGACAAGTAGCAAGCATAGATAAGAGCGGCTATTATTACCAAGCAAGTTTCAGAGCGCCAGGTCAACCATCCCTAAAAGGGGGATTGTAGTATTTCTGCTGCTGCTTGTCTAGCAGGGTTCTGTGAAGATCAAATGAGATGATGCTAGTGAAAACTTTTGAATAAAACAAAATTAACATTTATTGAATGGCTACTGGATGCTGGGTGCTTTACAAATGTTATCCTATTTATGAGGTAGTTCTATTATTCAAAATAATTTTATTATTCACCTTTTATAGGGAAGGATATTGATGTGATGTGATGGAGCTAAGACAAAACCACTTACTCCCAAATCTGTCTCTGTAGGAGACCTCCTTTAGACCAGAATCCCCTGCGGGTCAGTCTGAATCCTAAAGCTTGGCTCATGTCACGGGGATGAGATAGGAGAAGGGTCTTTGGTGTGCCTCCAAACACAGGCAGGCAAACAGTTACTCTGCCTGCTCAGGAGAGGTGGTCATGTGTACCTGGCTGTGTGTATGTTGGGGTGGGGTGGGTGGAAGTGGGGCTTTAAATAAGAGTATATTGTTCTCATCCCATACCATAATCTCAAGCAAGAGACATGTAAAAATTAAAAGATCTGGATTTTAGGATAACCAAAACAAAATCCTACAGACTCCCGAGCTGCCCTGTATCCTGACCAGAAAACTTAACCCACCCAGATGCTGCTCCAAGGGCTCAGAGCCAAAAATCAGGCTTAAAAATGTCCATCTAAGAATGTACTGTTCTCCTGCAGTGGAACATGCAGATAGGACCATAGAAAAGAAGGGAAGGGGAAATGACTGGGAAGAACCATTCCAGTTAGAAGCCAAAACTGAAAGGAAATTCATGAAATTCTTAATAAAGAGTGCCACAATTGTAACAGGGTTAACAAATCAGACACCCTCAGGACTACTGTTGTAGGGAAGAATCCTTTAAGCTAAAATGCCAAACATTAAAAACAAAACCAACCAAACAAAACAAAAAAAAAAAAAAAAAAAAAAAAAAAAAGGAAGGGGGACTTTTTGTGGGGGAGGGGTGAGTAGAGAATTTGGAGACCTAAATCTCTTCTCATCTTAAAAAACGGTCAGTTACTTCCATTTCAAAGCTCTATTTATAAAACTGAAACAACAAAGGGATTTGAAAACAGATCAGTGGTCTTTTTAGCCTAGGCTTCTTTACTTGTTTCAAATTTGCTAAGCTCATTTATTAGTTTTGGTAGCTATTTTACAGATAGATTGCCTCATTCATTCATTCATGCATTTAATAAGGATCACCAAGAACCAGATACTGTGCTAGGTGTAAGTAGTAGAATAAAAATGCAATCTCTACTCTCAAGAGGAGGGGTATGGAAACAGACATGTAAAAATATCAAAGTAGGGGCTAGCAGCTAGAATGGATGTGTGTGAATGAAGCACCAAAGCCTGTCAGAAAGGTCAGTGGGGAAGAGAGAAGGTATCCCCAGATCACAGCAATCTGGGATTCCAACATTGAATGAAACCAGGTTTTCAGAGTTTCATGACGATTCCTCAAGTCGTAATTATAAGTAGTGCCATGATTTTCTGTTTTCAAAGTACAATTTGGCTTTTGGCTAAAGTTCTAACAGAAAAATGCATTAATAGTGGCTGCTACTATAATAAATTACTTTCAAGCATCTTGCTTAGATTTCTATTTGGGAATAATTAATTTTTTAATAGCTTCATAAGCCATGACTTATAAATCATTGACTATTGCTTTATAACTATTACAAACCAAACACATAGCATTTGTTTTCCATTAATCAATGTGTTGTAGAAATTAGGCTAATTTTTTTCTTTTCTTATTGATTTTTATTACAGGAAGAGTGACATTTAATAGGGCAGTAGCTCCAGAGACCCTGCAGAGAAGCCTTAAATCACAGAGGTAATCACTAACAATTAGGATGCTATTTCAATTGGTTAGTTAGTTGTAGTAAATACTTGTAACTAGTTTAGAAGTTTCTTGTATATGACTAACCACCTTAATGCAGCATTATACTGGGAATATAAAGAGTTCATTTCCTTCTAACTGCATTTTTGGTGATCAAGTCAATGCTTTGAACTTTCCAAGATCCCCTTAAATTTTACGAAATAGATACAAATAAGAAAATAATTATTTTTCATGAACTTAACTCTACAACTTAGCTATGTCTTGGCATTTGCTTAGTTTTCTAAATGGAATTTAAGCTTGTCAAAAATTAAATTGCATGTCATATAAAGTTTTCAGGGAAAGAAAAGCAAACAATTCAAGCTTCTCTTTGGGAAGCGTAATGAATGGCCTATGGATTGGGGGTTGATTTGGGACAAGTCCATTAACATTCACTCCTCTATATAACCTGAAAATGGGGAAAATAATTCAGGCCTCCTATTTTAAAAAGTCGTAGGAGCAAATTTTTAAACATATATAAAAGTACTGTGAGATACTATGTTAAGTAATGCAACAGGAAAATTATTTCCAAAAAGTCATTGGAAAGACCGATTCCAATTCTCTACCCTCAATAACCGCACCTCTAAAACAGGCCTCAGTTCCGCAGCCCATTAAGTAATTCAGTAAAAATTTAGAGAACACCTGTGTCTATCCGGGGTTGTAACAGTTGTCTTTCTGCAAATCTGACTCACACCTCCAACAACTATAATGATTCCTCTACCCCATCCCCAACTTACCCAACCCTACCTTACCTTAGGGCACATATTTCTAACTTGGCTGTTCAGTTAGTCCTTAAACACATCTAAAATCTCAGGTATATGTGACATAAATGGAAAATTAAAACTGCATTAGTGATCTTCAAACTGGGCTCCATGTAACCACAAGTTTTTCTTGTGGAGACAGGAATCATATGGACATTTTCAGTATGAATCTGTACCATCCCTACCAGGCCACAGTCTTAAATTTGACTCTTCTGCAACAATGACAAAAAATCAACAGATGAATTCCACACACTTTAAGAGTCTAAAAATTACCAAGTTTAAAAATCCTTAAGGCAGTATATTTTTCCCAAGTAACGGTCTAATATAAAAATTTTGTCCTGGCGGGGTAGCTCAGTTGGTTAGAGCATTGTCCTGATACACTAAGGTTTCAGGTTTGTTCCCCGGTCAGGGCACAAAAATCAACCAATAGCCCGGCAGGCGTGGCTCAGCATTCGAGTGTCCACCTAGGGTCCAGGGGATCTCGGGTGGATTCCCGTCAGGGCACAGGCCGGGGTTCGGGCTCGATCCCCATGCGGGGCGTGCCGGAGGCAGCTGATCAATGATTCTCATCATTGATGTTTTTCTCTCCCTCTCCCTTCCTCTCTCGGAAATCAATATAAGACATATTTGAAAAAAATAAAATAAAATTCTGGAACTTTAACTTCTATTAAAAAAAATTCAACCAATAAATGGAACAACAAATCTCTCTCTCCCCTTTCCTCTCTATCTAAAAATCAATCAATAAAAATTAAAAAAAAATTTCCTATGCACAAGAGAAAGAAATGCAGGAGACATCTTTATGAATGAAGTGGGGTTTCATAATAGCTGGTGTGCAAGTAACTTCTATAAAAACAAAAGATAAACTGTGGAGCCTTTAATCAAATAGCCCCATTAAAAAAACCTAACAAACACAAAAACACCCTTTTAACAAAAGGATTCCTTAAAGTGAGAAATCAAATCCACTCGCATAAACAGCATATGATGCGGGCCACGCACTGGCCACGGCAGACGTCGCATCGCGCCCCCAAACCATTCCTTCCTCCCTGTTCCTCTAAAGCGAGCAAAAGCCGTCGGGAGGCAGCGCCCTGGCTCCCACTTCCAGGGACACCGAAGTCACGCTTGAACTCTGGCCCTGAACAGCTGTGTGCTTGGGGCTGGCCGCCCGACATCCTGAGCCAGTTTTTTTGGCATGAAACTGGGGTGGCATCACTAGCCTCACTGCCTAATAGTGAAGATGAAGAGAGGCCACCTCAGTGCCTGTCAGGGGCCTAGGACGGGGCCAGCCGCGTGCGGGCACCTTTAAACCTCGGCCGGGGGACCGCTCCCTGCTGGGACTGCAGAGGAAACCCGAGTCCACCGACGGCAAGCACCTCGCTCTGTTCCCTCCCTCAAACCTTCAAACCCGCAGGCCCCCCTTCCTCCCTCCCGCGGAGGCAGAGCAGTACCTCCTCAGACGGGAAGGCGATCCTCAGCTCAGGTGGCCCGTCCTCAGTGCTCCTCGGGAACTTTGCTCCAGGATGTCCCCTGGAGAGGGGATAATTATGCATTCCAGTTTTCCTTCCCTCTCCACAGCCTGGCTCCTGCCGTAAGCATTAAATACATTCTAGTTTCTTTCTTCAAGAAAGAAAGGAAACTTCTTAGACTCCACCTCCAGGACAGTCCTATCTTTGGCCTCCCCTTCAAGGCCACTTTTTAAAAAGAGTTGTTGGCACTGGCTGTGTCTGGGTCCTCACCTCCCACTCACTCTTTTTTTTTTCTTCCTTTCTTTTTTCACTTTAATTTGGCTTCCAACTCCATCAAGCCAAAGAAATGTTTGTCAGTAAATCACCAATGATTTCCTTGTTGCTCCTTTCAATGGCCATTTCTTGGTCCTGGTCGAATCTGTAGATTCCCAGCTCTGGGGGCTGGAACACCGGCAATCACTTCCCTCTGAAAAACTGCTGAAGTCTGGCACTTTCCTCCCCTCTCTCACCTTCCCCGCATCCCTAGTGAATTTTCTTTCTTCAGCAATTCCCCAAATGTTGGTCTTTCTCAAGGTCCACTGATCGACTCCTTTCTTCTTTTCTCCAACATTCTTTCCCCGGTAAATCCATCCACTCTCCCAGAGCCCGTCAATAATGTGGCCACAAGGCCCGGTTCGCCCGAAACTGTTCAGGTTTACCCTTGTTTTCCCAGCATAATCAATAGCTCTCCCCACCCCACCCCACGTCCCAGTTTAGATGCAAACCAAATATACGCTTCCCTTATCTATTACCATTTGTATGCAGATGACTCCGAATTGAGGCAATAAAGCCTGTGGCTGAGAGGTGGGCCCTGGAGCCAGCCCCTGGGGTTTATATCCTGCTCCAGCATTCACCGGCCTCTGAGACCCTGGTTAAGTAATCCCTTTGCACTTCAGATTCCTCCTCAACAAAATGGGTATGACTAGGGATTTCTCTCGAAGAGAGGGCTAAACGAGCACATCTAAAGTCATTAGCATGAGGTCTGCCACATTTTTAAGTGCTCAATAAATTTGGCCAGCCCAAACTTGTCTCCTGAGTTCCAGGCATATCCAGGTAAGTACAATAAAGTTCCAACGGGGTGAGAGGGGAAGGGCAAGGAGTAGGTTAGCCTGTGTGGGCCTCTTATCACTTCTAAATTCTCTAGACGCCCATTTATCCTTCCAACAGACTGTGGCTGAATTCCTAAGATAATTCTTTTGTGCCAGCTGGGCATATGGTTAACTTTTTTATTTTCTATAAATTACTCTTAATCCTTAAGGAAGTGTCTTAGTTTGATTGAAATACTTCCTGAAATGGTATTTTTATTTTATATGTGTTTTCAAATTCCCTATCTTCACTTTCATTTGATATACTAGCATAACTCCAACGATTTGCATTTATAAACTTGGTTTTTTAACCTAGGCTCTGATCCTTCTGTGCATCTCCCCCAAGCCTGTGGGTGAATTGTAGAGCTTGTGTATACTCAAGAGGGCTTTTTCTCACCTCTTCATGTTTGCTCTGCAACTCAGCATTGAATGTCCCCTATCCCCTTCCTCTATTGAAATTCTGCTCATTTTTTAAGACCCAGTTTAAAATGCAATTCTGTCTGAGAACCTTCCCTATTTTCCCAGATAGAAGAATCTCTTGGTCCTCTGACGGATGCCTCTATTTAGCACGTGGTTCCATTTTGTACTATAGTTAAATGCCCATTTGCCTTTCGACCTCAGTTTATTTCAGCCCTGGATGGCCAAAGTGGGTTTCACCCATCCTTGTACCACTCACAGCCCAGTGTTTTATGCATAATAGTTAGCATTCGTTGAGCATTTACTCTACATCAGGCCTATTTTATTCTCACAGACTAATGAGGTAGGAGCTATTACTGTCTTCATTTTATAGATGAGTAAACTGAGGCTTGGAAAGGTTATAGGTAAGCAGCCCACGGTTGTTCAGCTAATAAAAGGCAGAACTGGTCTTTTACTGACTGAATCTTCTGACTGATTAGGTAAAACGAGATTTTGTTTTGTTTCTTTAGGAGGAAATATGGCTCCAGAGCCTGAGCTTTTAACCTCAGCTATAAATATTTGTTGATATTTTGAGGAAAAAAAGCCTTATTTAGAAAAATAATGTCTGCATGTAGTTTTTCTTTTTATTCCGTGTTGAAAAACAAAACAAAGCAAAGCAATATTTTGTGCACAGCTTTAAATTTTTTCCCTGAGAAAACAGCAGATATGAATTCAACTTAGGTCAATTTTTATCACTCTGATAGCTAATTTCTATTAATGTGTCAATGGAAAACTCAGCTACTGCACTAAAGCTATATTTTTATACTTATGCTGACTACTCTAGATTCTAATCAGTGGTTAAATAAAAAGTTCCCTTGGTTGAAAAGGAAGGGTGATGTGGAGCTAATGATAACTGAGTTGCTTTCAGCTGATGAACAGGTTGGATTCTGAAAACTCTGTCTCCAGGAATGGCCAGAAAAGCTCATTTAACCAGTGAACACCAGGCTGAGTCAGCAGGCTGGGGTTTCTTCCACCTCTGGAGCTCACTTCACCTGTTTTCATCCTTTTAAATGGGAGAGATGATCCCTATGCTCCTCTAAAGAGATTACACAGAAGAGGCGGGTTTTTGTTTTTGTTTGTTTTTGTTAATCCTTACCTGAGGACATTTTTCCCACTATTAGAGAGTGGAAGGGAAGGAGGAGAGAGAGAGAAATATTGAAGTGAGAGAGACACATCAATTGGTTGCCCCCCCAAATGGGTGTCCCAGTTTCTCTGGAGACGTAAACGCAGGTGGTCTAACTCCCAGTACGTGGCTATACCACCGTGAGGGTGAGAGACACTTTGGTTCAATGAGACCGAGCCAATAACTCAAGTTCAAGAAGGGAGACAGACGAACATAAAGCAAACCACACAGGGTTCATTTACCAGTTCCCGATGGTTCTGGGCACCAGCAGGCCACCCGGAGGATCCGCCGAGAGACACACACAGGTTCGGGGGTGCAGCCCCGACGGCGCCGGTCACTGCAGTNACGGCGCGGGTCACTGCAGCCCTCTGGAAGTTCCCGCAGACAGATGCGGGGCAGAGCAAGGCAGGGGCAGCTTTCCCGGAGCTGGAGACGAAGCCTGTGGAGGGCAGACAAGCGTCCCAGGATGTGGCCGAAGAGCTCCTGCTTTTAACAGCTCAGTGGAAGGGTGTGGTGCATAACGACATCTTCAGTGTGTCTTATCGGGGTCCTACAGAGCGCGGGGCCTGGTCGGAAGCCGGGGCTACAAAGTGTTCATCTTATCGTGGCAGCAGGCCTCACAGTTACACTCAGTCACACAAAATGGAGTTACTTATATCAAGTCTAATACACACATCAAACTTATCTTCCCGGCTCTAATACACACACAAATCTATTTCTATAACAATGGGGCAGGGAACGAACCTGCAACTCAGGCACACGTCCTTGACCCGAAATCAAACCCAAGACCCTTCTTTCCGAGGGCCGACGCTCTACCACTGAGCCACACTGGCCACGGCCACTAAACAGCTTTAAAAATGGATATTATTTATTGTTGTTGTTATTCACAATGTAGTATCTGAATACTAAGTGCAATAGCGTTTCTATGGGGAAATAAAACTTTTAAATTAAATTTATTTATTATTTTTTAAAATCCTCACCCAAGGATATGTTGAGAGAGAGAGACCTCGATCGCTTGCCTCCCATATGGGCCAGGACTAGATATCGAACCCGCAACTTTTTGGGTGATGCTCCAACAGCCACCCTGCCAGGGCTTTTTTTTTTTTGAGTTTAAAATTGGGATTCTAAGAGCCAGTCTCTGTCTGCCTTGCTTCCTTCCCATACTATTTCGTAGAAGGATCTGGAAGATCTGGGTTCCCAGTGCTGTGTGTGTTGGTAGCGGGACTGAGGATGTCCCCCAGTTTCAAGCCCTAGGACTGGGTACAGGAGGAGGGACAAGGTCCAGGAGGTGAGGAAGCTGACAGAACTAGAGTCTACGCTGGGGAAATAAATAACACCAGGAACTAACTTCTAACAGTAGGCTTTTCCCAAGTCCCGTTTTCCTCCTTTCAGCTCTAAGTTTGGACCTGTGAGCTTCTCCCTCAACAGCTCAGCACTGACTACCTTAGGGTGAATTGTGGAAATCAAAGGAAATGCTCCATAAACTCTACAAATGTTAATTATTGTTTTTCTAAGCCACCTTAGCACTTTTGGGGGGTGGGATTTAGTAGTTAAGGGAACTTTCCAGTAAATGAAGTATTTAAGGTATTACTGAGTAGCACCAATTTAACTTGTCATTTAGTGCCCACTGGTGCCCACTCCAGCAGTATGGTGCATGTTCCCCTGCTTACCTATTTATTCCTCTTAAGAACCCTATGAACTTGGTACTTCCCCCCCTCCATTTTACATGTTCGAAAATGAAGTTTGGCAGATTGAGTCATCTGCCCAGGGTCATCCATTTTCTCAAAAGCAGAGCTGGGAGTCAAAACTGATGCCAAGCCTTTGTGGTCAACCACAACATACACGACTGTGTGTGTAACAGACACTTCACATCCTTTCTGTTCACAGCCCGCTGTTTCCTTTCACTGTACAGTTTTAGAGATTTAGTAGTTTATCAATCCTTCTTATTATAAAACAACACTTGTCTCTTTAGGGCTGTTCAGTTAAGTGGAGGTGGGATGGAGTGGGCTAGGATGGTGATTCCTTCCCCCTACAGAAAGTACTCAAGAAATGAGAATGCCAAGAAAGACTAGTCACAAATGCAAAAGTAATGCTTAAAATAAAATGGGAAAACTGGAAAGTACTTACTCATTAAAGAAACTGGTGATTTAAAAATGTACTTCTCAGGTGATTCTAGATCTTTTTCCTAGAGACTCCTTTCTCGGCTGCAGATCAGAGTCCCAGGTCGGAGAGAGAGCCCAGAACCTGGGCTACAAGGCAGATACGTTCACGTCTGGGTGCTGCTACATTTGTGAGCCAGCCTCAGGGGAGAGGATGCCATTTCCGGTGGCATCTGGGGCAAATGACACGAGTCAGCATTTATTTTCTCGCATTAGGAAGCGGAAGACTAATGATCGTCGCTTTAAGAGTTGGCAAATGTGAAAACGCAGACTGGTTAGCGAGTCCAAAATATAGCACCTTCCTGGAATTTGGCTCTGCACTTGTTTTCATTTCACGTGTCTCAGTCATTTGGGTGTAGCTTCTATGGACTCTTCCTTTGTTTTCTTTTCACAGTTCAAACCCCCTTCTCTTATTACGCCCAGCTTATGTGGTATGTTCACAGCTGAAAAAAAAACATTAGAGTGGGGAGGGAGGAAAAGGTGGTGAGGGGAGAGAAAGGGGAAGTGAGAAAAGAGAGATTGGGAAGTGACAGGAGGAAGATTGCTCCTTTTTCTAATCAACTTTTTTTAAATCCTCATTCGAGGATATTTTTTCCATTGCTTTTCAGAGAGAATGGAAGGGAGAGAGAGAGAGAGAGAGAGAGAGAGAGAGAGAGAGAGAGAGAGGGAAACATCGATTGGTTGCCTCCCGCATGCACCCTGACCAGGGCTGGGGATCAAGCCTGAAACTGAGGTAAGTGCCCTTGGCTGGAATTGAATCCAGGACCTTCAGTGCAAGGCTGACACTCTAACCATGGAGCCAAACCAGGTAGGGCTCTAATGAATTTTTAGCAGTAATAATCCTGTACTTTTGGTGCTCCTCCCAATGCCAAAGCTTCCGAAAACGACAGGCCTGAGCTTCCAGTTTCAGGTAAACACAGAAAGTGGCAGGCCAGGACCCTTCAGGTTCCTCCTCCAGTTTCATTTGACACCAACAGGTAACTAGAAGGGGGGGCAGGGAGTGGTGTCTGATTGATTAGATATAGATAAGCTTGGAACTTTGTTTTCATTTCTTTGAAAAGATATGCTTTGGAGGAGGAGGACTATCACCTCCTTCACAAATACCAAGATGAAAGAGGAGGAAATGAATCAGAAAAAAGAAAAAAAATGAGAAAATAAACCTTTAAAAAAGCTTCTCTCAAATAGTGAACCTTCTATAGGTGTTTTAAACACTTTAGGAAGCAGCATTTCTCCATTACATTAATTGATATAAAATAACTAAAGCAAGAGGAACAGATTCCAAAACAGTCCTGAAATGCATGCCCTTTGTGCTTAGTTTTGTTTTGTTTTTAATATTATGCTATTTGGGGAAACTGGCCTATAAAGCAAACATGGTTCCCTTTTCTTGAAAAATGTTATTTTATTTTACTTCACTGACTACTCAATGTGTGGCTTAAAAATTCCACACATTAGACATTGTTTTTTGTGTGTGTGGTGTGTTTTTTTTAATCTTCACCTGAGGATATTTTTTCCATTGCTTTTCAGAGACAATGCAAGGGAGAGAGGGAGAGAGAGAGAGAGAGAGAAACATCAAGGTGAGAGAGACACATCAACTGCTTGCCTCCTGCACGAATCCTGACTGGGGGTGGGAAGGGAACCCACAACCCAGGTACATGCCCTTGACAGGGAATCGAACCCGGGACCCTTCAGAGCGTGGGCAGACACTGTAACCACTGAGCACGCCGGCCAGGGCATTACACATTGTTTTTATTGTCTTATCAATAGTCACAAATCAAGTTATTTTGCACTTTTTTTTATGAATTTTAATACAGTTTTAATTGTGTCTCAAGGAAGGACTTCATCTAGAGCCCAACTGATCACTCTAGTATCTTAAAATTTAGAGCAATCTATTACATAACTTTGAAATTTTGCCATTATTTGATTCTAGCGTTTCTGTGAGTCGCACAGCTTTCCAGTCCTTTAGATTCCAGCTGGTCTGTGTGTACTGTGAGAATACGAGGGTAATCTAGGGGAGAATGCATAATCGTCACAGGGCCCGAGAGCAGGGAGAGCTGTAATACTGCAAATGATAATCTTGATTATATTCGCTGAACTTAAAGTTGTTTAGGGCCAAGCAACAGATTTTCTACTGATTTTCTTACTTCCAAGAACTTATCCTGCTACACAGACAGCTATCCTCCTGCTGTTCTGGCCCCATTTCATGCCCCGTAGCTCAGTGTGCCTGCTTGCTTCCTTACCCACCAAGCTTGGCTTTTCCCTAAAGGACAGTGAGACCTTCTGGATGTCTAATGTTCTGCACTTAGAATGTGCTATCTCACAACAGGTCCCCCTTCCTAATGTAAGGCGAGCTCTCACTGTCGTCTTTACTTTGCAGAGGTGGAACTGAGGCTCTGAGAAAGCGGGATGGCGCAGCTCAGGGACTTGGAGCCCTTCTGACCAGGGTGTCATTTTCGCTGCCCTCTCCATGGGCAGCCAGACAGGGTACACTGCCATGACCGTCATTCTTAAATTATTTTGCTTATTTTTAGAAGGCATTTAATGCACATGGCACAAAACTTCAAAAGGTGCGAGGGGTACGAGTGAGAAGTGAGTCCCCTCCCTTTCTTGTTCCCCAATGTCTCGTTTTTTCCTTCTGGAAGCAATACTGTCATGGGCTTCTTGTCTATTCTACCAGAAATAGTCTATACGGATATTCTGAATCTCTCTGAAATATTTTCTTCTCTCTTCCTTCCTTCCTGAAAGTGATATTAGCCGAGGAATGAGAAGTGGTCTGATTCTGGATCTACTTTAAAGGCAGAGGTGATAGGATTTTCCCCGGGGAGAGGAGGTGGGTGTGAGCAAAGGAGAGGAGTCCAGGCTCGCTCCATGGTTTCTGGCCTGAGCAACGGGAAGGATTCAGTTGCCCTTTACTTAGATGGGGAAATCTGGGAGACACTGGTTCGGGGAGTGGAGGTCAAGCGTTAGGCTTTGGGCTTGCTGGGTGAGATGCCTTGGGCACATCTGAATTGAGGTGCTGGCGGGGATCTGGATAGGCCGGTGCGGAGCTGAGGGGGGAGGCTGGAGATATCAATTTGGTTTGGATGCTGTTGCCAACGGAGAAGGTGAAGCTAGAGCAGAAAGGAGGTCCGGGAATTGAGCCCTGGGGTGCTCCAGGCGTAGGTGGTCGGGAAGGTGA